AGTGCGTGAAACACAACAAAACAAAAAGGAAACGCTCAAGACATCATAAGACCTCGAAGGCGTCACCAAGTAAGGGAGACGAATGCCAGGCATGCAATATCATAGTTTCTAAAGCTGACTCAGCGTTTGAATGCAATTTTTGCAAACGGTGGGTGCACTGCCGTTGTGGCAAAGAGGTGCCGAAATCATACTACGAGTTTATGAGAAATAACCCATGCCCGTGGTTTTGGTACATCTGTCCACTCTGTCGCCCTGGCATAGTCGCACAGGGCGTGTCTGCGGATAGCAGAAACAACAGGCTGCTCTTGTGTCCCAACAAAGTATTATGCAGCTCCCCACCTGCTAACACCACACTGCCAAAAAAAAAATAGCCTACTGACTGAAAATGCCAATTTTCACAAGGTGAAGATTCAAAAGGTTGGACCCAAAACATCAAGGAAAGATAGAATTGGAGAAGCACCACTTGCATCCACAAGCAAGCTTGGGAACACAATAAAGGCTGGCCAGAACCCGATGAAGCCTAAAGTTGCTGATGCTGCAAAGGAATACGAGAAGCCTAAGGCCAAACCTAAGTCTGAGGTTAATAGGTCTAATCTCTCATCCTCTTTAACGTACCTGTGAGCAAGGACAGCTTGCTTGAACAACGGGCCTTGTTTGATCAGGAACAGTGGTCCAACCTGTGCAATAAATTAGGTCTGAACACTAGTTCAGTGAAATTGTGCAGGCTGTACAGGGGTGTCCACACGCCTCAGGATAAGCCACCCCCATTACGGGTTACACTGGAAGAGGCCGAAAAGGTACTATTGATGGCTCAGGTACTAGCCATCGACAGAAGCTCTAACATAAGGGTGAGACAAGACAGACCATGGGCTATCAGACAAATGGCGAGGGAGTCACCGGAACTTTTGCCCTCTACCTCTATGGTGGTACACGGTGTTCTGGAGATGGAAACGGGCACTGCCTGTGAAAAACATGCATGACGCACAGCAGTGGAGATGGCTGTCGTCTCAGATGGCCCTTGGCGCTTCTGGAGCCATCTCCGTTTACCGACTACCTCGCCCCGCTCATCTCACACTGATTAGCTCACCAAAGCTGCTTAGTGTCACATTCAACTCCCCAGAGCAGTTGACCATAGCACTTCAACGGTGGTGTAAGATCAAGGGGAAATTGGGAGGACACATCCGATGCTGCGAAAGCAGACCTCAAACCATAAGGAGGCAGCAAACTGAGGCTTTAATACATCTCCAAGCTTCAGTGATACTAGAGCGATGCAGTTCTGAGAATAACAGTCTGTGTTATCCAAGTGTCCTGCCTAAATCCATGGAAAAACCACAACGGGCCGGTTCCATCGGAACTGGCCAACTAGTCCCAACATTAAGTCCCCTACCAGCAGACAGCTTCACGTCAACTACCCGACAACACGCTGAGGTTGTAAGACTCACTGTCAGCTGCCTATATAGCAATGTGAGGGGGCTGAGAGGAAAAATAGGTGAACTCCGAAATCTCCAAGCACACCTACAACTGAAAATGATCATTCTCACCGAAATATGGCTAACCCCCACTATCGCCGATAATGAAATCAGTATAGGTGAAATGGTTTTGGTCAGGAGAGACAGGGATAATGTGAAAGGAGGGGGAGTTGCTATATACTTTGATAGGCAACTTAAATGTGTGCGCGCAACGGACCCACCACTTATTGAACTCCCAGACTCTATATGGTGTCATTTCACCGTAGGCCACACCAAGCATTTACTTGGTGGCATCTACCGATCTCCTGCCTGTAGGGCAGAGCACAATCAGCTACTGCTCAGCACTATCACAGGGATACGAGACTTGGGCTATGACCAAATCACCACAGCTGGAGATTTCAATGCCCCATCACTGAACCTTGGCTCGGGGTTAGCTAAGAGAAAATTCGGCCGAAATCTACTGCAAACTATTCGGAACACGGGACTGACTGAGAACGTTGAAGACGATACCAGCTGATGCCCTAGTGCAAAGCCATCAAAACTAGACTACATTCTAACTAGTGACCAACTACTCGTCGAAAAGGTCCAGATCATGACTCCTCTAGGAAGTAGTGACCATGCAGTCATAGGTTTCGACCTCGTTCTCCGTGAGCATTTGCAGTGGGACGTTACGCAACCATGTCTGTGTTACAGCAAGGCTGACTATGCTGAAATGCGGAGGCTCTTTTCCGACGCAGACTGGCCCTTAGCATTAGATGAGTTATCTGTGGATGAACACTGGGAGGTGGTAAAAAAGATTATTCATACAGTAATCTCGGATACCGTCCCTTTAGTCACAACACAGCCCAAAAGAAAGTCATCATGGCTGAAGAGAAGCACGCAGCGTATTCTGCAAGCAAAGCCGAAGGCTTGGTTTACGTGGCGCGTATCTAAGAGCCAGATCGACCATGATGCATACCTGAAACTCAGGAACCGGTGCAATGCAAGAGTCAGGGGGGACAGGAGGTCATTCCAGGCTAACATTGCTTAAAAACTCCTGGAAAACCCGAAGAATTTGTACCGATTCATGTCGGAAAGAAAACCAACCAACCAGGGGTCATGCGCCTTAGTAGGCCAAAACGGTCAATATCTCACTAGTCTGGAGATGGCTGAATCATTCAGTTTAGCCTTCGCCAAACAGCTAAACAGCAATGTGGGTATTACCGTTACGGACCAAAATGGTGGCATCACTATTTAACAGGAGGAAGACCAAATAGCCACCCCCCAAATAAACCCTGCAATAGTACATTGAGAAAGCTGCAGCGACTCATACCTGGGAAGTCCCCAGGTTGTGATGACATCAGGCCATCTGTTCTGAAACGGTGCGCTGAAGCTCTCTGTAGGCCTTATGCGACTTGTTCCAACACTCCATGGAATGGGGAAACTGCCAAAGGAATGATAAAGAAGCATCCTTTCTCCGATCTTCAAGGGTGGGGATAGGCAAAATCCCACCAGTTATAGACCAGTAGCTCTACTCCCAGTTGTATCAAAAGTACTGGAAAGTATTATTGATGATCACATCAGGGAATATCTCGATAGGTCTAAAATACTCCATGAAGCCCAACACGGTTTCAAGAAAGGGAGATCCTGCGTCACTAACTTATTATCAGCTTGGGACGACTGGACATCATGCTGGTATATGAATGTTCCAGTCCATGTGATCCTTCTAGACTTTGAGAAGGCATTTGACACTGTTCACCATGACCTTCTCCTACACAAAATAAGCCAGGTAGGTTTAGGTAAACCACTTCTGTCATGGTTGAAGGACTACCTAACTGAAAGGCAATTTTGCACCAAGGTCAATCGAGTCCGATCATCTTGGCACAGCTTGTAATCAGGAGTGTCGCAGGGTTCTATCCTAGGACCACCGATGTTCTTGATTTTTATCAATGATCTACCATGCCGTCTAAGCTGCCCGACTCTTCTATACGCTGATGACGTGAAGATATGGAGGATGATAAAGTGCCCGGAGGACTCAGACAGGCTACGGGAAGATCTAAACCTTCTGGAAGACCGGGCGGTGGCCAGTGGCATGACTTTCAACCTGAAAAAGTGCGAAGTAGTGAAGTTACGCACCTGTAGACAGCAAAATGCAAGTTACACCCTGTGCAATGAAAGCTTGTCCTGCTCAACGTCGGAACGTGACTTAGGTCTAGTTCTAACGGAGAAAATGGACACAAGCGTAAATTACACGGGGGATGTAGCGAGGGCATATGCGGTCATACACTTAACACATAGACAGTTAGGTGCACTCACTCCTGAGCTCTTTCTAAGGTTGTGTAAAACATACGTAAGACCGCACCTTGAAGTGCATAATATCATTGCACCCCCACTGCTTAAAAGAGACGCCAACCTCTTGTAAAGGGTCCAACGACGGGCAACAAAAGGAATGGTTGGTCTCCGAAATAAACCATATGATGAAAGGCTGAAGAAATTAGGCCTATTCACACTTAGTTACCGTCCTCTTAGGGGGGATTTAATTGCTGCCTACAAAATAACAAATGATCAAAATCACCTAAACAAAAGTGTTCTACCATTGAGTAGGTATAGGCTCCCTCGTGGAAATCCTAGAAGGATAGCTCATCAGAGGGCAAGGACCCGGGTGCGCTCCCACTTCTTTTCCCTGCGGGTTTGCCGTCCCTGGAATTCCTTACAGGAAGATGTAGCTAATGCGCCATCTGTGGACGCCTTTAAGCGAAGACTGGACAACCATGCAGCGACACAAGGACTTCATCCAAATGGCCTATCCCCTTAAAATCGCATACACCATTCAAAGGTAGATAATTAAACTGGTCGTTTTACTTCTTTACATTGACGACGATACCGAAGGACCAACTGGTGAAAGGATCAACTCCATTCACAGTAGTAACAGTCTTAACACACCTCATACTACAAACCACATATAATTAATCCCTGCACTACTCCTTTTGGAGTCAACCAAAACTACGGCAGTCGAGTGGCGGGACGAGCTACGCAGACGTTTACTGGAGATCAGGAACCTCTCCCTCACAATCAGGAAGCGAGCACAAAGAAATCAAATTGGTTTATACTAGCTCGTAAAAACGATATTGGATATTGGAAGTGGCAATGGCTTCTGACAATAAACTTCCCAGTGAAGGCAAGTCCTCAATGTTAAAATTATAATGAAGCTGTAAGCTATCCACTAATTCATAGACTTATTTACATCTACGGATTCAGTCAACAAGAGTGGCCCGCGAAATGACTCGATTTGTTGTAAATTCACTCATAAGTGTTTCATTATCTTACCTAACAGGGAGGTTTCACTAAGAAGCAGGTAAAAAATAGTGCACAAATACCCTTTGAACCTAAAAAAGAAAACACAGAGTGTCCATAAAAATGCAGGCATATTCCAATTAAAACAATAAACCATAAAAAACACCATCTCACCTTCGTCTTTTATCCAGTATAATTGCATGTTGTTTTAACGATATAAAGACTTAGGTCACAGGTAGTACAATAATTAGAAAAATTATGCCGGTGACGTATAATTCGCGTAATCCTGGTAGGTTGCCATTATTATCCAACAAACTTAATTAACAGCGGTTAAACGGCTAATGAAGGAAGCCCAGGAGCTTTCAGAACCAACGGAACTGTATTTCGCCAAACCTTTAGAGGTTCATATCACACACTTTTGTAATCTAGTTTATTAGGATAATCTATTTGAGTGGCATTTTACTATTAGAGGACCGGAAGAATCTGACTTCCATGGTGGAATCTACCATGGAAGAATCCTTCTGCCTTCAGAATATCCCATGAAGCCTCCAAATATAGTTTTACTTACAGTAAGTTGTCGTATTTTGCTACATGCTATAGCATGTGTATGCCCTTATTTTTTTATAACGCCGATCACTAATTACAATGAAGGAAGCATCGTCCAGACTTCTGAATTGTATCTAATAACTGGGTTGCACTATTAGTTTTGACCATCGATGGTCAAAACTAAGGACGATCGTCCTTAATTTACTGGCTTTAGTATTTCCTATCTCATATACTGGTGATAGTGACATACCGGATTTAGGTTATTCAACCTTTTAACACATTTTGTTCCCAGTCGGCGTAATACTATGCAAAACTTGTTAGCCGCTTAAGTTACAAAAAGCTGCTGTACCTTAACTGGCGTCTGTAATCATGACGTGTTTGGTATTTCTGCCTGGTTTCCTAGCCCGTGATAGTTTCACTAAGTCATGATTATTTTGCTAAGTACTTTGTTCTACTGAATCAGCTGGCTTTTATTATTACGTTGACTTTGTAATGGTAATTCAGGTCGACTATCGTACATATGTGGGTTAAAATTTGAGACCTTTTGAGTATGGTTTATTCAAATGTCAATGATGGATCAGTCGGTCGGTTTTCGACATAGAACTTTGCACATATGTGCGGCAGTTCAAGTCGCCACAATCCATGTAGCACGCAAAGCAAGAGAAGAAAGTAGAAGAAATGCATAATATAGACAGTAAACAGAGGTGTGAGACAGAGGAATAGTAATAACAGAGAACAAAACAGTTTAATTGGAAATCATAAGTCACAAGGAGTGGATGCATCTGCGCCACTGAGAACGATTTTGAGCCATGTCACCAATTGTTTCCAACCATTGGTTTTTACCGTCCCGAGGACCCCAACCAGGAAGTCTACATCTTCCTACGTGGCTTAGACTAACTGTTGTGGATTTCATTGACTGGTGCCATGTTTTCGTTTGACCGCCGCTAGCTCTTTTCCAGCCTGACCTATTCTATATCAGCTAACATTGCCCATTGTCGAGGAAGGCGATGACTAGGCATACGTAGCACATGTCCTAACCATCTCAGTCGAAGTAATTTCACCGTTTCGTCGATTGATGTGTCGGCGGCACAGTGGTTAGGACGCTTGCCGACCATGCACATGGTCCGGGGTTCGATTCCTGGCCGACGCACACTCGATATCAATGGTCGGTCTGCCTGCTACCGATATCACATGCTGAAAATTCCATACTTGTCAATGATGGAAGGAAGTATAGTTTTGTAGTCTGATACAGAATCGTCTTTCCAAAATGTCAACCATCTGCTTTACACTAGTCAGAAGTATTGAAACGCTTGTGCAAGAGTAGAATGCTGTCGTGTTAAATGTACATTACAATATTATACAAACATTCATTTTCATTTTCCGAAAATTTATTTTTCTAATCTAGCCAAATGGTCGTTTTGAAATAAACCGAAAGATCTGCTTAAGTATATCTGGATATCATCCAGAATCATGGAGACCTTCTTGGTCCATTCGAACTGCACTTCTAGCAATCATAGGATTTATGCCCACCCATGGTGTAGGCGCAATAGGTTCACTCAATCAAACAAAAGAAGAACGTCAGATGTTGGCTCGCATGTGAGTGTTTTTTTCTGTCACCTCATGTATTATGATGTAATTCGGAGTAGCTTATGTATCTGAATAATTCCTCTCAAAATTGTATTGAGCGATTGATTATAGTATCGAATCGTATCAAATAGGAGTCCATAATTTTCTAGTTTATAAAACAATATTTATGGCTTTAAAATACTTAATGTCAATAAGTATAAGTAGGTTCTTATTTCTTCAAGATTGAACTGTTGGTTACCCATAAGACCTTACAACTTCGATTAGAATGTTGAATTTTACTTACACTAAACAATTTCTATTCATTTACGCAGTATTTTCGTGCATAATGGCACAAGTGTTACCGATGGAAACATGTGTTAAAGGATTTCATGCTTGGGTTCAGTTTTGAGACTTCTTTTAAGGAGAGAACTTTCTGCCACCTGAATGGCTTTAATCGTTGTTTTATGGTTTTAAGGAAGACTGATTTGCCTTCAAGACAAATTTTTCCAGTTAATTTGTTCTCTAAATTCATACTTACTTTTGTTTTTACTGTCACCGTAAAATGTAGGAACATGGCTAGCCAAATTTCCGATGATTTACTGAAGTATAGAAATTTATTATGTAGTCTAATTTCTCCTCTCATAGTACTAGTGCCTATGTCAGTTTGATTTATTAAACTTTAATGCCCTTACCTGAATAGATTAGAATTAGTTATTTAAAAGAATGTAGGTGAAGGAAACCTTGCTTACTGCTAGTATTTGTATAGGCCTAACTTGGCTTAGCATTTTCAAAGTTGGGTATATTGTTGCAGCTAAAACAGGTCAGTTGGGAAAAATATAAGCCTCCAGCACCTGAAATAGTTAAGTTACATACTACGCATTCCTATCTATTGTCAACATGCATATGCCATGTTAGCAAGCGTGGTACAAATTATGGTCAGAGTTGAAGTGCGTTACCTATTCATGAAGCTGTTAGTGTGAGTAGCGTAATCGTTAACGCAATCACCGAAAAGTGCTCAGTAATTCTTAGTGATGTTGTTCAAAATCTAACATGATGGTGTAGATACATAAAAACCTTGTCTCCGTTTTTATTGTATTATATCGAATTCTTTATCTACTTCCTACGACTTTTAATCCTCTGGTTTTTATGTATTTGTGTTATCGCCTCCAACTCGATGTTCAGTTATGAATTATGGCAACTTTCATATATTTGGTAGCACTACGTCGTATTTTGATAATGATGGGGATATGTTTGTGCGTTTTTTAGCAAGTCATACTTAGTAGCTGGGATACAGTTTAAGTCTGTTATTCATTCATTGAAAGATTGTCTGGGTTCTCAATTAATTCTTACCCTTTGCATAATGACACCAGATTATATGTGATTTCTAATATTTTTAGCATTAACGTATTAGTTTCTAAAGAGTTTTCTATTCTTTTGAGTTTTAAGAATCGAAACATGAAACAATGGGTTTTCAACGCCTTTTTGTAATGGTGTTTTCCAGTTTTTAGTTAATCCTTTTTGTCTCTATTTTTCCTATGTTAATTAAACCTTTATATAGAACTGTTGCTATAGCTGTTTAAGAATGCTGAAAAAGCAATTAAGCCACCTACTGTTTTGAGCACACAGATTTCATTCTTCAAATCGTAGGCCAAATCTGCGCTCTTTATGAGCTCGGGATAGTAAAAACCAATGATTGGAGACAATTGATGATATGGCTCAAAAACGTTCTCAGTTGCGCAAATGGATTCACGCTTTGTGATTCACTATATCCAATAAAACTCTATTGTTCTCCCATATTACTATTCTTTTTCCCTCACACTTCTGTTTAATTATGTCCTTTGAACCTCCCTTTACTCTCTTCGGTTGCTTTGTGTGCTACATGGAGGGAGTGTGGCAACTCGAACTGTTGCACACCTGTGCAGAATTCTACGTTGAAACCAGTCAGTCGGTCAGTTAATGAGCTTGCATTTTTCGTCTGTGTTGGTAACTATCAAAGATAATTTGCTTTAAGTTGGTGTCTTATTGCAGCTGAAGTTCCCAATTTCACCAGTTAGAATCAGGTGTCATAAGTTTTCCATAATACCAAAGCAAGTCTTTGTTTTTTGACTTCTCTTAAGGTTACTGTTATCTCTTTGTTGATTCTTTTCAAGGAAGATAAAAGTCAACCAGCAGGTAAAAGAATAAGACGATGGAAAAAGTACACGGTAGAGAGAAAGTTAGAAGTACCACTATCCTATAGGATTAATTTAAGCTACTAGTAGACATTCTAGACGGTGGCCAGAGGTTTCCTTTTTCTGATATTGGGCTCACTTTAGATCACAAGAAGTTCGTATTTCCTTACACACTTTACTGAATTGCGCCATGTTTTCCTTCTGCAAACTAGCGCATTATGGTAAACAATAATTTACTGTGTGTGTGTATGTAACATGTATCCCAATCACCTCACCAAATGCTTTGAAACCAATAATGATCACATAGTTTTAACACACACATTTTAGTTTGAGAAAAAACTGGTTGAAATATATTAAGTTTTGACACATGTTGCTAACATCTTTCTGAATTGCCAGGAGACACCAAACCGCGTTACTTTTCTGTTCTTCATAAATAAGAATTTAGCTTCTTTCTAATCCGTCGCAACTGACAGTTATCAAAGCACAGTGTACTGAAATTATAAGTACCCTAACTTATAGACAGTGTTGCTTATCTAGTCAACGATATTCAATCACTCAATAAAATGCCTATTTTAGTTATGTATCACTCCTTTACAGGAGGTCACTCACACTCTAAATAGCTAAGTCGTAATTGTAATAGCTTTGAAGCCTTAGTTTAGTGAAGTATTGGACGGACAAGTAGTATCAGTGAACACCATACTTATTGTTGCTTATAGCTCCTGGTGTATGTTAGCTCACGATGAAATCCTGTAACCAATTAGATCCCTGCAAATCAACACTTGAATATGAATCTGTCTGTTTTTATAGGATATTTCTTTCATTACACGTGGAAGCTGCTAATTTATACCAACATATATTTATTTTTCCTTTAAATCTAGGTCACAAAGTTATGTTTGCAGTACGTGTGGACCGATTAGAAATCTTCTCCTTCCTCTAACAGCTGCTTCTTCGTCTATGAATAAAGAAGTTAGTCAAGCTGCAGCTCAGATATCTATGATGGTAAGATGTTAATGATTTTGTCCTATTACTACCTTTTTGCTAATTTCATAATAAGTACATTAATATAAAAGAAGGTCCATGTTATATCTTCATCACTTTTTGACGTCCACAAAAAAATGTTAGATTATTAGATTACAACCATCTGATTCAATAATAATATGATCACCTCAAGTCTTGGCGATCATATTTCACCTAACGGATGAATGCTGATGGAAAGTCCCAAGTCTGCGAGAAGCTGCTGTTCAATACATCTTGCTTTTCTTTTTTCTTCAAACAGTTTTCTATGTTTAAAGAAACCTACCTTGTAATTGCTAAAAGATTGCTGAAATTGTATGTGTACCAGATTAAGGGAGTTAGATACTAAGCATTTTCATAAGACTTGTCTAAATAAAATTTGTCCTGTCTTCCTACTACGGCTACAAAGTCCCGTAGATTCCCACCAAGTTCATTTTGCTGACTACACTTTTCATTGCTTTGAAGGTTTCATATACCCTAGTTTTATCGCAAAAGGTTACTTTCTGTGGATTTATTTTATTTGGAAGATTTATATATGGTGTGTCACTGTGCAAACCAGGATGTCATATATATATAAGCTGAAAAATGAAATTAATTAGTATACTTTCACTGGTCTATGTGTTAAGACATTAAAATTAGGCCTTACAATCAACAGATGTTAAACTACATAATATTACTTAGTTCAAACTACATCTCTGAATAAGCTAATCTTGGCTCTATGAAGGCGAATACACAGTTCTGTATAGTCACTATTTGAATATTGGTATATTAGACGGTTGGAGTCAATCGGCAGGAAGCCTTGGACCTAGGTTTCGTGCTTGTTGGCATTCACTATAGAAATTATTCACTTAGCAAGTGAATCACATATTTTATCTGTTGAACAGCAAGTAATAGTTATTACTATTGGCGGATTTTTATAATTTCCTTTGTTTGACTTTGTTGGACTGTAATGATCGATCTATTTCAATAAATGGGCATATTTACGTAGTTGTCTCAGTATTGCTGTGATTTTCCTCTTGATACTGTTTGTTTGGAGTTGGATAGTGACGAAGCACTGCATGCAGTTTGGGACTCATTGGAACGATGTTTGTATCGTACTAAGTGCCGTTGCTCTACTGCAGTCGGATTTAAACATATAACACGTTGAATGCAAAATGGTGTGTTGTCTTGTTAAAAAACAGCTTAGGAAGATTTGAATCAAAAGCTTCCCGCTTACTTGTCTTGTTTTTCAGCATGCAAGTATATGTTTACTGTTCTTAATTTTAGAGTGAAGAGGAGACTGCTAGTAAAAAAGCGTCGGATAAGCCATCTGCTAGTAAACCGAATCCTGTTTCTGGTGATTCATCAACACCATCAAACAAATCATCCGTAAATGTGAATCCACCATCAAAAGTAATTAGCACTACTGTCCCACCTTCATCTGCAACTCCTTCGGTATCTACAAGTCAAGGGAATATTTCTAGCCCTATGGGAAATGTAAATCCATATATCTGGCCAGGAATTTCGCCATATATGTATCCTGCTGCCCTCTCCTCTCCTACTTCGAAAATTACTGATACCACAACACCTCAGATTGCCTATTGGTTGTGTTTTCCTGTTTACTATCCTATGCCATATCCTACAAATCCGAACCCATCGTTGTCCAGTGCAACAGTTCAAGCGTCATCATCATCGACCGTAGCAACAAATGGAGAACGTGTACCTTTAAGTTTCAGTGAATGGTTAAAACAAATTAGAGAGGTAAGTTAGACTTTTGTTTAAATTGAGCATCATCCCTGAGTTCTTCATATTTTAGCTTGTCGATGCATATTTTTGGGCTAACGTGGGAAACAGTCTGTTTTCAATTGTGATTAATGCACATGAGGATTCAGCTCGTCGCCTCAAACACTGTTTGCAGTTTGGGAACCTGTTGCTCCTATTTTAGATTGAATGCTTTCATAATAGAGAAGATTTGTAGCTCAGGTGGATGATTTTGATGTTGTTGTGTTCTCTGAGCTGGATAGTTAATTTGCGAAGCTTTCATCACCCTACTGGGTGACATCTTCAGCGCATACTTCAATTTGAAGTGAGCTTTTAGATTTCTCCACGAGTTTATTAATCATCTCTCCTGGCGACCTTGGACGTGATTGGTTGTTTTTGTCTGTTTTCACACCTTCTAGGTTACTTGTATTGTCACTCATTGTTTCTTTGGCTTGAACTTTGACCCTTTGTGTGTGACGTTTCTTTCTTATCGGTTGATAAATTTTGTCTATCTCGATGTGTCTATTGATTGATGATTCACTGGAATGCCAAGCTTCTAAAAATTCTCTAGCATTCTTGTTGTTTCCTCTGTCTAGTATTTGAACGTTGTCCCAGTCGAATTGATGTCCTTGGTTGTCTGTATGTAGTGATATGAGGGAGTGGATATCATGTCTTTTGACAGCTAGCTTATGTTCGTGGATACGAAGACGAAGGGGACGTCCACTTTGGCCAATGTAGATGCGAAAAACACTACATTGGCCAAAGTGGACGTCCCCTTCGTCTTCGTATCCACGAACATAAGCTAGCTGTCAAAAGACATGATATCCACTCCCTCATATCACTACATACAGACAACCAAGGACATCAATTCGACTGGGACAACGTTCAAATACTAGACAGAGGAAACAACAAGAATGCTAGAGAATTTTTAGAAGCTTGGCATTCCAGTGAATCATCAATCAATAGACACATCGAGATAGACAAAATTTATCAACCGATAAGAAAGAAACGTCACACACAAAGGGTCAAAGTTCAAGCCAAAGAAACAATGAGTGACAATACAAGTAACCTAGAAGGTGTGAAAACAGACAAAAACAACCAATCACGTCCAAGGTCGCCAGGAGAGATGATTAATAAACTCGTGGAGAAATCTAAAAGCTCACTTCAAATTGAAGTATGCGCTGAAGATGTCACCCAGTAGGGTGATGAAAGCTTCGCAAATTAACTATCCAGCTCAGAGAACACAACAACATCAAAATACTTTCATAAGCCTTCAAACTCCAAATAGCAAAACATTATAAGATGGTAATTGTAGTAATGGAATAATATTATATTACAGCTGATTTGAGAATATGTATAGTGTATGTGCTCCTCTGTAATCGATTCAAATTGTGTAGAGGGACTCATATACACTAATTATTCATAGGAAGGTAAGAAATGGATCTCAAAAATCCTTGGATAGTCAACCAAGCTGTAGAAAACACTTTGCTTCTTTTTAACTGAGAAATATATACGAGTCTTTTCACCATGTAATGTTGATTTTAGCCTTTCTTATGTTCAGTGGAAAAAGCCTACCTTAAAGATTTTTGTCCTCGAAAAATCTCACACCTTTTGCCAACGTAGTGTTCAGTCTATGTGCTAAAAGTGACTATTTGTTTCTTCCACTAAATAAAGTTAGTTAGAGTTCAATTACCCGAGATACATTTTTTCACTTGCCAGGCTATGAGCCAAGCTTGCTGTACGAGGGTCGATGATACTACTTATTCGCCAAAGCTAAATTAGGTTGAGCACGACTCAACCCCTGACCCATTTACTTAAGTTCGAATACTTATGCCAATCAGCCACATCTCCGACAGATGAAGTGAACAACAGGAGATCACAACTACTAGTAAGTATATCCATTGCAAGAAAGGTGACCATTGTTACTCAGTAGCTTAATGGATAACACTGTAGTGTGAAACAATGGGTGTTAGGATGGGGAGTTCCCAATTTTATTTCTGGCTATCAATGGTCATTTAGCATCGGTTCACGTATCACGACTCGAAATTTACTTCAATAATTTTAATTTACTCGCTGTTTTGAATGATTGTAAGATGTTAAATGCGTTATAAAGTATCGAAAATCAATCCTCTCTGTGTTTACAAAACTTGGTTTATTGGAACTGAGAATATTCCTAGAATGCTGCATGTTCTTTTGTCATCTCCAGGAAATAGCTTGCACTTAATTGTAACACCATATTATCCACTGCATATTTTGTCTTATACCCTTTTAAACATGATGAAAGTTATAATTTGAGGGGTAAAGTCCTCTTAAGGTGTTGGCTTTCATTATAATCATACTTACAATATAACACAATAGAAATGTATTAATTACGATAATAGTAATAAATAGATATCAGTGACCATCTGTTACTGAGTACTCTGGTTGCTAGATCACTCCAACTGTACGATGCTTAGCAATGTACTCGATTCATTGGAATATGGAGTTAAAATCTGTGGAAACTAGCGATCGAAATTCGAATGTTTGTCTCTATGGCTTTCGTGTATCAATCCGTAGAGTCTTTGACAGTTGGCCTTAGCCACACTGAAAGATATAGACTTCCTGGTTGGGGACCTGCCTTGAAATGCTAGGAATAAATGGCTTAAGAGTATTGATAATATGACTCAATGGTGTAGGTGCATTCACTCTGTGTTATCTCTGAGATCTAGTAAGTCATCATGGTATTCCATATCACTCTTCTCTTTCTCGTACACTTCTGCTTATTATAGTTCTTCTGAATTTTCTTTTTTTATCTTTTCTCTTTATTTGAGCCCCACATGGAATGTGGCAACTTAAACTGTTATACTTCTGTACACAGTTCCATGATGAAATTCAGTTAGTGTTTTATGTTTAATGGAAAAAAACAAAAGAAGATTTTGCTTTCCAATCTAATATGATCGAGTGAAGAGTAGCTGTGATGCTGTAGTAGTAGTAGTAGTAGTAGTTTTTTTTCTGAGTATTGCATTATAGTGTTTCATCGTAATTCAGCAGCTTTCTCGGTGTTAATCTCAGTCTTTCGGTCAACCATTTGGTAAGGAAACAACTCATTTCATTGGACACGTGGTGGTAAGTAGCTTATGTCATGACGTCTAGTCCGTTGTTCAATGTAGACTGACTTCTATCAGTGATAACGTGTGACTTGCAGCACTGAGTTGCCTGGGTTCGTATCTCATAAGGGACGTGGGTTTCTTCAAGACTGCAGATAAGCCCTACTGACGAGTGCCAATAGGCTTGAAACTTAGTTCCAAGGTTTCTCACCGATCGCCTTCAACTGTCAATTTGGTACCACTATTGCGCGGAATGCATGAAACCTTGTGAAAGATGGTCAGCAAACAACACATACAGTAGTACTGTTTGACATTGAATAAATGATCTAAAATTCGTATAAAACTCAATGTAATGCATGTACTTTATTCAGCATTTAGAAGTTGACATGGACTTCATCAATCAAAATGAATTTAAGACTAGAATTTTGGCATTGCGGCAGAATATAATTCCATATTAGATGCGTTTATTTGACCTAACACACACACATACAGTGATACAGTCTTGACAACTGGATAACATTTCGAGCACAATTTATTGCTACCTTTATATAATCCTACTCCTTTGTTTGTTTTTGCAATTTTCCATATATCCGGTATAAGCGTTGAGTCATTTTGATTGCACTTATTACGAAGTAATATAGTTCGGTGGAGACATAGAGAGGATAATCACGGAATCTTTGTTCCTTCTCGTACAACCGAAATGATACAGCGTCCATTCCAAGACTCATCAGTCAAAGTTTGTAACCATTTCATGTAGGGTTAACTGGTGAATACCCCAGCATACTAGTCGTTACAGAAAATTAAGTACTTTAAACAGAATTTTAATGATATTTAAAAAGCCTTTTAAATGAAATAAATAATGCTTTCACACAGGTATATAATTGCTGGGTTAGCATTTGCTAGTCTCACGGACTACTGTTTCTTATGAATTCTTCGAGTGCTTTCTTTAAATACTAATGAAAGTGCATAATTCTGTATTCTTCTGCTACATATGCATTACATCAGAAGTTTGTTTCTTCTAAAGGAGATTAGTTCGTAACACAACCTCAGTGATATTTAAGTTAAACAGAATTTAAAGACAGGCTTGTTTCACTGTAGTATAATGCTGCATAAATAAGCCAATATTATTAACGATCACTGCACAACTACGTGACATCAAACTTTTCAAATGAATCTATGCCTGTAGAAAGAAAATATGACCATTCTCCCATTTGTTCAATTATTCTATTGCATCTTGTAGACTTTATTCCTTTTTTATGTTATTTAATTACCCAAGCTATTTTTCAAGAGTTAATTTGTAGGGTTTTGATTCGTCTCGTGTTTCATCATGGATTGATGTTAGTTAGAGAATCATTGAAAGCCATGGATTACTACTGGATAGCTGTTACATCCTAGTTTTGCACTCTTGTGCAGTACCCGAACATAAAGAAGTTAGAACTTATAAACAGTTGAATTCCGGTCCAAATGGTTGAACAGTTTGTGTACTTCGCCTCGTAACTTGATCCTCGACAGGGTGGTGGGTGCGTACTGATGAAGAGCCTTAAACTAGAGCGATACAGTTGTGCAGTACTCTCAGTGGTTCTCTAAATCACATCAATCCGTGGTCCAACTTGGAACAATTCAAATCTCTACAGACTAAATCTTGAAAATCAGCCTGATGCTCACCATTGACTGGCTGTAGGATGAAGTTGCCTGGAATTTCACTAATGAAATATCTTGACCAGTGTGGTCCACCAGATAGTTAGTGATGTCAGATATTGGCTGGCGGTCACATTAAAATCTCCAACTGACAGAAGTTAGAATGGTCGACGAGCTTCGGTCAAAGGTTCTGGGTTCGACCCCCGGTAGAGTAGTAGTTGTTAGTTTTATTTGATTTTTTCCCTCCTCACAAATCTAGGGTAGTCTTTGTTTCTCACAGCTTTAATTTGCTGTTCCCGCTTTTAAAGTACATTGTTATATATTTTTGATATAAATATAATTTCACACAGTTTAAAAATTGATGAGAATTTTGTCAGACAAAATGATGTCTTTTTATTCTACACGCTTTCTACACTTTCAATTTGACAATCTCTAAATGCTTATGTCGATTATTTTTGATTTCACGTTCATTTTTTGTCTTCTGACTACATAACTGACTCAGTAAGCAATAAGTAATAAGAAGTAAATATAATATTTCTTTAAATTTGTAAACGAAGATAACCTCAAGGTCACGTGTTATATTTTACCAGTTGTATGATCAATAAACGCATGTAGCACATTTTAAACATAAACGTATCATTTTTATTTATTGTGTAAAACCTTAATTGTTGATAATTTGGAGACAAAATTAACGCTTGTTTTATATAACTGAAGTGTGAATAAAATGATGCAGCACACAATTGTCTTAACAACATTAGTGATATCAAAATTGCTATAATTACTGCAAATATTATTGTTAATATTCTAATGGGATTCATGATAACAAGGATAAAAACAAGTAGTATAAACCTACAAGTCATTAGTATTTGATTGAGACAATAAAGAGAAGCAAATAATAAGACGTCAGATTAAATTGTTGAACATGATGCCTCAGTCTAAATCAGAGATCGATATATTAAATATTAAAGTGAAAATACGCCGGAAACGACGATATTCACTTCCATCCTCGGTGAGTTGTACGATTTTTCTGAAGCCTTGGCGTAATCTGTTAACTAGGCGATAAACTTACTTCCTTATGCAATGGCAGTAAAGATTAGTACGGAACTGCTACCCAGTGTGTTTATATAAGGTGAATTTGTTAAATCCACCAATACTTCATGAGACCAGAAAATACCATCAGTCCTCAGTTGCTTATAATGTCTCACTCAAAGATGTCCAACTGTGACACATCTAAGGTATCTGAAGGCTGAATAAGAATCCAGTCTACTGCACAACAGTTGACTCTGTTCTTGCATAACATCGAAAGTAGAGGATTTGACTATTGTCTCTTCTTAGCACTTTCCAATTAAGTAGTGTTGAGATTGTTCACAGATTCCTGGATGACCTAGACAAATATACTTAATCCAAATAGAGATTGAGAAATAGTCTCACTTCTCAGTTGCACTTACAGACCGGATTTATGTAGTTTGGTTGATTGAGTATATGAGCCGAGCAAAGGAAGATTATTGGAAACCTTAAGGTATACGGTTTAATAAACACGGTGTTTCCAACCTTTTTTATTTTATTCCTTTATGTTCCCAGTGGAACAAAGGATTTCAAACTAGAGCCTTTAAGTTTCGGTAACAGTGGTTTTTATTTTTACGGGATGGGGTTGGTAGCCTAATGCCCAACCTTTCCCCTTTACCGGTCTTATTACTGGCTTAGCGAGGTAAAGGAGTGTGCTGAGTGCCCGGAGATCGAACTCCGAACCACATGCGTGGTTGACGAGTATACTACCACTGTACCACCGACGTAGACCTTCCTAACTCCTCTTCATCAACATTGTAATATTTTATTTCTTAATATGATTTATACTATTCCTTTCTGTTTTATGAAGTTCAATGACTCAGGGTTATACTATTTTCTTCCCTTGTATTATGTTTTACTTAATGTGGTAATCTGTACTGTTATGAAGTAATCTCCAGTCTCGTATGTTATTGTTGTGGATACCACTTTTCTCTTTGATATCAACAGTTTATTTCTCTTACTACTACTAGCAGTGGTGTTTCAATGCTTCATGTTTATTACATTGTCGTTTTACAACCTTAGGAATCAAAAATCCTTCGTGTAAAAGTAATCACCTAATATATATATATATATATATATATATATATATATATATATAGAGAGAGAGAGAGAGAGAGAGAGAGAGAGAGAGAGAAATATAAGTTTAATAACCTTGTATAAATATTATATTTAAGTTGACCTCAAGTCTTGAATAGTACAGAAGAATAATAAGAAAATCTCTCAATAAATTCTCTTGCTTTTCTTTCTTTTTCTTGGTTATCAGAAAGAAAAAACTAAGAGTACACCTACAGCAAATACAGCATCTGACTCATCTGCCGTCCACTCACCCCAAAGTCATGAAGGTGTAAGTCAGACGGGTTCAAGTTCATCTGTACAGTCTAGTATTGACAGAAGGTTTAATGACTCGCCTTATTCAGGTAGCTTACAAAAATCACATGAATTTGATGATCATATCAATTCTGAAGTCATCAGTACTCAGAAAGATGATGCCAGTAGTAATATGGATTTAGCGCATAATAAAAAAAACAGTGAGGAGACAACTCACCCAGCATTCCCTACACAGCAAAAGAACATCGAAAAAGTGGACTCTCTTTCCCCTGAAAATATTGTTGTCCATTCACCACAAAATGTTCAAAGTTCATTATACACTGATAATCTCCCACACACTCATGAACCTTTGAATCTATCGCTTCATCAAAGTGAATCAAAGTTTGTCTCATCTAATGTACCATCTAAATCAATGACCGACGATCTTTTATCTGATACAGTTACAAAACACTCTCCCACAGTACCAGCAGATGATGCTTCAAAGTCTGAATCCCATTTAGTACAAACTGTAAATCCTGACACACTTTTATGCATGACTTCAAAGAATGAGATAGTCTCACATTCTGATACACATTTAGTGGAACAGAAGCATGTCAAAGTATCAGAGACCTCATTCGACAGCAGTGGTATCAATGGCACCATCACTGCAGGAAGAAGTGAGCCGCTGCCTGTGAATATTGAAACAATAGATGTGAATGACAAACCTCAATTAGACGTATCTAATGATGATTTGAACAAAGCGAAAGTAGACAGTACTGTTGATAAGGATATCGCTGTTAAATCGCTTACTAATTTGATTGAATCTCTCGATAATATAGATACTTGTAAGAAATATCGTGAACAAAAGGCAAGTAATTTTTATTCTGGTGAGAATGAAACTATGGGATTCCCTGAAAAAGATATGAAAAGTGATCAACTTATGTCTGGCAGCAGTGTTGATTATCAAGCTGGTGGATTACGTAATAGAATTGGTGTGTCGCCTTCTAGCAATCCTAGTCTCAGTGAATATACATCATCAATTTATTCAATAAATAGAAGACGACCATCCCTTGTACCACATGATGCTGCAACTATATGTGCTATCGGTGTAGCAATTGCATTATTTGTAGTTGTTGTACGTCGGTTAGCAATAATGTTTGAAGATAGTTAGACGAGAGCAAAAAACCCCGTTATCTTAGATGAAATGCCATTCTTTTCCATAAAGCCAACAAACAATTAAATATCTCCAGTTGAATAATATACTGGTGTGTAAACAAAACTCAGATAATTTACAAATTCAAGCCAAAGTCTAATATCTTTTATTCTCTGCGTTCCTTACCTGTTTGATTGTTTTGATTTCTGCTATTTAAAAAAAAACCTGAAGATAATTTTAATTGCCTTGTCATAAAGAATCTTTTTTTAAAGAAAAAAATTGATAGGAACAAAATTATCTCCAAATTAAAGTCATTAGACTGCAAATGATTTGGTGCTTCTTTTTCTACATCCTTATTAGATGAATTCTGTAGATTTCTCAGATAATCAGGGAGTGTTGGTTCTCGCTTTCTGAAACCTAGCGAAGATAGTAGATAAATGTGTAGTTTACTTTTATCTTGTAGCTGGTATTTGACCTATGTATACCTAACCTTATATCGACAATCTTATGCCTTTCCACCATTTGACAAACCTTAATTTGAAAACTGGATGTCAACATAAAGAGGCACTTAGAATAAATTGTCTTGTAATATGCAGCACTCGATCATTAAACAAGATGAGGTAACACTATTCTATATATTTTATTTCATGTAGAATATAGCTAGAACGTGAGCAGCTTAATTCACTCTACTAAGTGAATTCTGTTGCCACTTATAATTAAAACAGTTCGATTTTCGTTATTATCTAAACATATCTTTTAAAGGTTCAGTTATGATCTACGTAGCTCATTAACTTTATATATAATCACTGTAATATTGCGTACTTTCAACAGTTCATACGACCGAGTTTAGTTGAACCAAATGGTCTTAAGAATTCAAACATCTTATTGGCAATAAATAATTCATTTTTCGGGGGATATTCAACAATTTCTGTCCAATTTGTTCCGTCGTATTCTTTTCATCGATTGACTTAATAAATTTTAATTCATCAGATAGGACGGTTAACAACTTATAATCGCGATTCATTCATACGATTCCTGCACGTCTATGATGTGTCAGAATAGCCTCCCTATTTTCCTCATAAATTCTTTGTCAACTATAACTAGCCGTTCGGTTTGGTGTTCATAAACTTATGGCAGATTTCAAGGACTTATCGTCTAGTGCCAACATCTGAAGAGTATTCACATTCTAAATCACCAGTCCTTAACAGTTGTCACAAATTCTTATTCCAGTCAGCTTCACATAGTAAAATCCGTGGATTTATTGTAGAAAATGACAATAAAGTCCGACTCTCCGAGGTTTTAAAGACAATCATATACAATATAAGAAACTTTTCCTATCGACACAATTTTCAAGAGTGTATCTTTTTTCGAAATACAGAATTTACATGCATACAACCAAGGAATATATATTTGAAACAAATACAACCGTATATTCATTTACAATTTAATAAATTAATATATTGTCAGCTATTCACCAGTGTCAAGACCACTGACAATTTCCCCAATATTCTTTTCAAGATCTTCAACTCTCTTTGATAAATCATCTAGTATTTATTAATTAAGGAATACGTTAGCGAAAAATTAGAAAACCGGATAAAATAATGCAATATGAGTGTCAGGCAGACAATCGTATATGATATGATAACCACCTGCATATGTATCAAATCTATTTCATGCGGGAAGCAGTGCTTGATCTTATAACCAATATGCGACAAATAAAAAATAGAACTGATGAGATCACAATAGCAGAATTATTGACTCTAGCGTATTAGCCAATCTGTGACCTTGGTTCTACGATTTCGCTATTGGACTTGATCGGATTAACCAACAATATTTGTCTGCGCATTTCATCTTAACATATCAGATAGTGTTAGAACTTTTTTTAGAGATTAACCAAAAATCCACTTAACAATAGTATATATTGACAGATGAGCAATTGTCATAATACATCCAATCATGATTTAAACATTTACTACCCAAAAAACTCCTTTGGCATTGGCGACTATCCTTAGACATCAGAAAATTATGAGTTTACTTCTGCATTCTTATTATCAAAACAACGCCTTGTATTACTGCGCGACAGGTGAACATTCTATACTCTCTGTAAGTGCATCAAATAAAAAATAACACGAAAACACTGATATAATAATTGAACTTGGGTACTGATAATGTATAATTCCATCATCGAGAAAATTTATTTGATAGTCTTACAATGTTATACAGTAATATTTACTGATGTTATTTCGAGCACAATTTATGGCTCAAAATCATATCAAGTTACTCACACAACTTTCAGACTTCGTTCATATAATTCCGTTATTCCTCATCTCTTGATTTGATTGGTAGTAATATTTTCCATATCTCTGGTACTAGTCATGAGTCATTCCTACTGCATGTGTTGGGTGCAGACTCGATGAACAAAGATCTAGCCATCAACCTCTCCATCTATCTATATTACTTTTTACAATTGTAACTATGTCCCACCCCATTTTGTGTTAGTGCATGCAGTGCAATTACTGAGTTTTTCTAAATAACTTCAGTGAGCTACTTGTATAAACATAATACTAGTTGAGCTGAACTGATTAATCAATACGTTTAATGATGGGTAACAAATATGATAACCTGTATGCTTTAAGTGTGAACTGAAAATTAATTTTTCTCTATCTCAAAAATTATTTCATTCAGCTCTTACTTGTCTTACAACGTGTTTACCACTTTACAGCATGTAAAGGGCTAAAAGTTCAACAGAGAGGAACACATGACTGTATTTCTAGGCGAATTTGAATACATCTTATATAAATAAAACTGGGATAGGATATCTTATACATGCAGTTGTAAAGACTTAATGGATGTAAACCACTGGCATCAGTTGTGACTAAAACTACTGTCACCAGTTAACAAAAGTTGTTAGATTTTATCAAACTAGTCTAAAACCCATTACAGACTCAATTCTGTCTGGGAATAGAGAGATCTTTGAGACGAGAAATTCATTACTACGTGTACATCAGTTATTTGCTAAATTATAGACGATATTCAAAGCATGACAATACTATCTAATGTGCGCAGTTATTTTGACCTATGAATAATGCTTAAATCATATTTCCACTGTATAAAAATGATCTACAAAGTAAGTTATTATTGGTTGTTGATCAAGTAATAACTGATTTCTTTACTTTACACTGTAAATAAGAATATCACTATTGCATTGTATTTTAGATAAATTCAACACAACAGTAAACCGCTTACATCGAAGGTACTCAATACAATAAATACACGGGCTCAAGAAATTCACTATAAACATCTATTTACACAATTTTTACAACTGCAATCCTTAACTGATTTAAAACAAATTCATTTTATCCATTTATTCACTGTATTTTAAGTTTTCCTTAAAAATGAACGGACATTACGCAGAGAAACACGTTGGAAATAAGATCACAATGCTTAGGGATACAAGCACAGAAACACAGTAGAGAAGTGAGTTAGGTGATGGATAAGGAGGCAGTTGTTTAGTTTTAAGTTTATCTGTAAAAGCCGCTGTTGTTATAAATCTAAAACTAAAGCTACTGTTCTTAATCACTGAGCACTAATCCAAGTTAATACTCGCTTCTGTTGTCTTGGTTTGACTGAAAGACACGATAGGATAATTATTACTCTACTCACTTGTTTCCATATGGTTTCAATGGCGTACAGTTATTAGCTAAATTGCTATCTTTAAGTGTCATATAGTCATACAGGCGCATTAAATGCTAAACTCAGGTGTTTTTGGAAGTCTTATTTTAACAATTAACTCAGTAACCCGTAATTTCATAGTAGTAAAAACAACTAGTAACACAATTTTGATAGTTAAATTCTAACATTTCTTGGTTTAGAAATCTAGAGGATGTCCCATAAATAACAGATTCCAATGTGAAACTCTGTCTACCTTGTGTAAACAAGCAGTTCCTAGAAACCGAGAATTTGAAATATCTGCATTTAATTAGTGCTTAGACAACTGGAAATTATTCGTTGTTCATTAGGTCAATGTTTTTGAACGTAGCATTGACTCACAGGAGAGATTTCAAAATCTTTGATGCTACCTACATCTGTTATGTTACTTTGGGGTTGGCTTTGTATTGTTTAATCGGACAAAATGACATTCTTCTATGGCTGGTTTCCCGGTTATTTAGGAACAAATAAGTCATGTGAGTACTTAGTTTATTCGAATCAATTATATCACCTCGTTAGCAATGGGAGCTACATGATGATGCCACCAATGACGGTGGGAAACACCACAAAAGATCCAGTCGTATGAGTAAACCAGACTGAACTGTGTTAAACAGCATATACTACACTGCCAAATGCATTGAACGAAACTGTAATGAATAACTGAGGCACCACACTTTTTAGAAATGAAAAGTAAGCCTAACAAGTTGGTGTTGCGAGAGAGATTAGTGACCTTTAATGCAGTTTGTAAGCCCAAATTTTAGTATAAACTCAGAAGTTCCCATAATACACACTTGTATATCCTCCTATAAACACGCTATCTAGTTAGATAAAGCGCAAAGGATGGAGTATTATCAAAACTCATACTCCCGTACATCGTTCACTTATAATCATACTCATACGTGAAGAGTCAGAATAGGTCACTAATATTCTGACTAGTGATAGAGGTAGGAAACTTAGATGGCGATTTTTCAATGTATAATAAGGACGCAAATGCAACAGTCTAAGTTGCCACACTTCATAAATAACACAAATGTAGAGTAAGAGAGCGAAAAGGAAGAAAAATGCGAAGAAATATACGGGACGAAGAATAATGAAAATTTAATGATTGTGGGAGTTCATAAAGCTTGACTTCATCTAGAACATTTACAATGACTTTCAACCACATCACCAAGCCTTCAGTCATTGGCTCTTTGCCTCTCAAACACACCAGCCAGGAAATTCGCACCGTCCTAGGTGGCCCACACCAACAGTCAAAGACTTTATACATTGATATCTTGAGATTACCACCCCTAATACTCTTCCAACCCAATGATATGTCAGGAAAAAATGCCCAACGGAGAATGTGGTAGCTTGGCAGGAGGAACGAGCGTCCCAGGTACCTCAATTGATATGGCTTCACAACCTCAAAATACACCCCAAGCTT